TCCAAGATCCGCTCGCATCTTAAATGAAGAACTGTAGTAGAACAAACACTTCATGTTCTATCACCAATAGATTAGTGATTCCTCCAGCTAAGATGGGTTGAGAAATGTCACTTACTGACACTTCAAAATCACAGAAATGTCAACTGTTTCCAATAGCGTAAACTGGATGCAACTCAGGAGATAATAATCTACTTACTTTTTTACTTTACTCTGTTATAGACGTTTGGAAATGCAATTATTGCAAAGTCAAAGGACTCAAACTTGGCAATGTATCAACTCTCATAAAACTATGAGATGGGAAATAATGGCCAATCTAGAAATACACATAGAAAATGAACTTTTGAGCTCTAAACTTGGCAATGTATCAACTCTCATAGTTTAAATGGGAAATAATGGTCAATCTATAAATACACATAGAAAATGAACTTTTGAGCTCATAACTGCTTAATCGAGCAAAGCGCACCAACATGTACATACATTAGACTATACCCTTAGACAAGATTCCTGAAGCAATTAATGCACTCTAGTATTTTTTGGATGTGTGGATTTCATCATGCATTCCTCCTTCAGAAGCCTCGGGAGAAATATTTTGCACTTAAACTGCAGAAACCACTTAAATGCTAATTCTGACATAGCTTCAAAAAATAAAGTAGGTTTCAAGTGTCCAGAAAGAAAGAGTTACATCAATTCTAAAAAATCAAGATAACTTCAACTCATTATATTAGCTAATAAGGTCCTTAGCAGATAAAAGTTTAGGACATGTGCAAGGCAGATACAAATGTATTAGATATAAAGGCAGTGGATATGGACATGTGATTAAAGAAATACACAGGGTGGTTTTCCCCTGACACTGTATCTTAAAGTCTCTTATTTTCATATTATTACCCCTTATTCATACAAAGAAAGGCTGTCACTTTTAGATGGCCACTACTTTTCAAGTTATTCCTGAGCAATAAGTAAACAAAATATTGCAAGACAGTACTGTGTCAATCCAAACTGCTGTATGAAAACAACTGGCCAGTTTTAAGCATTCTGTGAAATTTTACTTCCATTATCCCTTTCTTATTTGAGCTTTCATATAAAGTTGGTATTTTTATTAAAAATAGTGAAAGCTAAAATGTCCAGCATGAGAGAAACTCCGTATTTGTTTCCTCCCCGTTGCTGCCAGGTAGGTGGCTCAGGGCAGTGGCCTCACCAGGAGCCCAGCAGAGCCCGGCCATCCCACATGTTTGGGTTTTTGGTGCCATTTGTGGCAATCCCAGCCTTGCTTTCCGCTGGCTTTTTCAGATGCTCTTCCACCCCTCTTTGGTGGCTGTTAATGAACTTGCACTGCACCACTCTCATCTCGTATTCAGGTCCCTTTCTATATTTAACAATCGCACGTTTGGGTTTTTGGTGCCATTTGTGGCAGCACAGCACAACCCCTGCTCACGGCTGGGTAACACCCACAAGGCTCCCCTCCCAGTAAAGACTGACGAGGCTAAATCAAATCCCAGCCTTGCTTTCCACTGCATCTTTTTCAGGTGCTCTTCCACCCCTCTTTGGTGGCTGTTGATGAACTTGCACTGCACCACTCTCATCTGATATTCAGGTCTCTTTCTATATTTGACAATAATAGGAAAAAAAAAGATATCCAGCTCTCATTGTAGACTCCAGCCTGTTCAAACCTTTCTCTGATATCTCCCAACACACACACACTCTTCTATGGCTTCACCTACTTCTCATTCAAGTTGCTTCTGAAGACAGCAACTTGAATGGTCTTTCTGAGCAAAGGGGGAAAAAAAAAGCATTTGGCTGATGCTAATGTTTCTGCCATTGAGGAAGTTATTTCCGTGGCAACATCCACCTTCACTGTCTCCAACAGAAAGGCCCACGCTCTGTTCACCATCCCATCCGAGCCACAGATCTCAAAGACATTGAAAAAGTATAAGATGATCACGGGCTCTTTCAGCCATGACCAAAGAATCAGCACAATTACGCTGTGCAAGGTGAGGCCAATTAGCAGGACAAATGTCACCATGATATGGAACATACAGTGTCACTGCACACACCATGAGCCTGTGTGGAAATGGGCTGTTATCCATCATCTCCCCTTGCCATCCCAACTACTCACAGGGTCTCACACCTGTCTGCTCATAAAGGATTCGTCTTTTTTCTTTTTTTTTTTTTTTTCTTTAAGTCTTTCACGTTGCAACAGTATTGAGTTTATGTGAAACATTCATATGGAGGACAGTAAGTCGGTGAGTTCAAATAATGAGCAGTGACGACTGGGCAAATCAGTGTGGGAAGGAGAACAGTCTTCTTGACACATTTTCAAAATAAAAATGCATTTCATTTTGAAAAGTAAAAGAAAAAATTAGCATGCAAAAGAGGAGGCTGTCTTGTACACTATGAAAGAACCACACACCGAGAAGCAGTGCCCTGTTACACAAAGGAGACCTTTAGTTGAGCTGTAGGCAAACTTGACTGTCACAAGCTTTGTATTTCACAATGTCCTCAACCAGCAAAATCAAATACCAACAACTTTTAGAGACAATTTAAAAAAACAAAACAAAACAACACAAAAAAAAAAGAAAAAAGTTATGAATGGATCATCTAGAAAGAGAAATTCTTTCCAGTGAAGCCTACCACTCAGCCCATGGACCAAACCTCAGCAGCTGTGAGCAGGCACCACAGCCCCTCCACACTGCTTCAATGGAAGGTCTAGGGCAGATCTTGGCACCAGGGACTGGCACTGCCTCCTATTCATGAGGCTGGACAAAACAACCACTAAATGCCTCCAGAAGCTGTCTGAGAAACTTAATGTAGGCTGTGGAGGAGCTGGGCACAGCCAAGAGTAGACATATTATATCATACTTTTTCCAAATTCTCTGTTCCAACAGCAATGCACAGATGGACAACCTAAAGCAATGTATAATGAGATGTAGACAGGTAAGCAGCCACTGCACAAGGCAGCGTATGAGTTGCTGCCCTCTCATCTCCAATCTTTTCAGATAGGCCCATGTTTACTCTGAACCCAGGCTCATGCTCAATTCAAGAAATAGTTCAAATTATTGAATAAATTGGCTAAAGTGTAGACAAAGCAGCATATTTTGCTTCTTCATAAAAAGTTAATTTAAATTTACTCAACATTAGTCTACACATAATTTTATTTTATAATTGGTTACCGAAGGTTATGCAAAACCATCAAACCAATTTCAAGTATGACTACATCCCACTTCACTGATGGCAAAATCAACTTTAATATGTCAGTTTTTCAATGTTTATGACTCTTTAAAAAGGACATCTACCAATAAACTATAAGTGCACTTAGCAATCATTTGTAATATACTAATTGTAAAATGAAAGAGAATCTCCCACATTTATACAGCTGCTCAGAGAAAGATTTCAAAAAGATGCAAATGACCTTTACAATGTGTTCAAAAAGCTGGATTAAAAGATATTCACTAACTTGATTTATTCTCCCTGTGTAAAACATGGCAAAACCTTCCAGGAAAACAATTCTAAAAACACAGGGAAAACAGCGACCACTGAATAAAATACTGTGCTGTGGGAAAGCACAACCACTTTTTCACAGGCTGTGCTGCTGAGCTTTTCAGACTCTCTCAGAATCTCAAATGTCTCATACCTTCCCATGGGAAAAGAGACATTTTATATCCAGTATCAAAATAATAAGAATAATAATTTTAAAAAACCCAAAAGATTGTCTGATGACACATCTCCCCTCTTCCTCAAACTTGTAACAATCTTATTTTCAAAATTCCTTTCCCACCAAATAGATGATAAAATAAGAGGGTGTTCTGCACATTTATGTCTAAGAAAAAGGTTTGCAGAACTCAATGCTAATTTCGTAAAGCATCGTTCATGGTTTACAATGTCCCTGAGGTATTCTACTATGTCGAGTTATATGAGGTAATAATAATAAATAACATTTTCTCCTGTTAAAAAAGCAAATGACTCCTTTATCTTTCCATGCCTAAATCAGACACCTGCTGAATTGTCACATATTCAAAATTCATTGAGAAAGCAACAAAAGATTCCTGATTAAATATAAAGGATTAGAGAATCATAATATTCTACAAGAGCTAGGCATAGCTACGTGCTTATTCTGTTTGTGAATGGAAAAGGAAGAAGGGTCTTCAAGGAAAGTAGCCAAAGGAAACTGAAGCGAATGTAAAAAGCATTTCAGGGCTATATTTAGAGGAAGACATTCTTCATACATTTGCCAAGCTATTCACGTCATTTCACACAGCATGTTTTATCCAGCTTTATAAGTCTCTGAGAGAGCTGGGGGGGTGGGGAGGGTGAATCTAGATCAGTTGCCAGAAATGGAAATCTTGCATTTATGTAGAGGAACGAATATTTTAAGCATGTGAATTCAAGAGTACTTTCCAAAAGGGGGGAAAAAAGAAGGCGGGGGGCAGGATGTTAAAACTTTCTGCAGATATCACAGAAGGATTCTGCAGGATATAGTTTATAAGTGACAGATATAAATTGCCCTCTAATCCGCCCTTTTGAGCCAGGCTCACTAGCCTCAGTTATCACTAAAAATACTAAAACGAGTGAATTTCACTACATTCAAGTCTTTAGCTGGTATAAACTGGCAGAACCATGTCCGTGTTCATGTAGATAGGATGCATCAGTTATATAAGCAATTACATATTTCTCCTCTATAATGCGGTAAGCAGCAATCTAAGGTGAATGAACAAACACATTACACAAGCTCAAAGGTGAAAACAGAAACAAAAATGCTCCAGTTTTATATGAATATTATGATTTTTCTTTAACTCGTTTAGCACATGTCATGAAGTTCAGCTATTTGCATAAAGAAATGTCAAGCATACAAAAAATATGTCAGTACCAGATGTAATGGTAATAGGAACAAACCACATGGAAATTTCCTGTTAGTGACCTTCTGGAGGCTGAGGATGGAATCCATTTGAGATAAACGACTGATTTGACTTAAACTTATACAAATGACTTCTATAAAAAGTTTTTACCTTCATTCCCTTCTCCAGGTGGCTGATAAAATGAAAGCCCCAAAGATATGATGGCTGCAATTTCCAAGATTATAAGAGTCACGTCCTGCAACGCTTCCCAGACTAGCTGTAAGAATGTTTTTGGCTTCTTTGGAGGTATAAAATTTTTTCCAAAAATAAGCTTTCTCTTTTCTAGGTCTGCAGCAGTGCCAGCTAATCCTGTAAATAAAATAAAAGAAAATAAATTAAAATTACAGTGAAATAGAAAATGCCCACTTATATCTCCATTCCTATAAATCATTTCTCCAAGAAGAACTACAAGCCATACCGCCTCTGACATATGAGGTAGATTTTCCACTTAAATTTTGCTTTTGTAAGATGATTTATCCTTGCATTCTAAACAGAATCCTCATGGACTCTCTTTAGAACTAATTCCTGCCAGTTTTAATCATTAAAAAGTCCTTGAATTAGTAGGATTAGTTCAATAAGACCCACGTATATAGATACATATATACATACACACACGTAAGCAATGACTTCTGAAAATAGATCATAAAGCATAAATAAATTTTATCTGGGATGAAGTTGGAATAGTTGTTGGCAGCTTTTGGTAACACCAGTAGAAAAGGCAGACAGATCTTTGCTCTGACCCCAGGTCGATGACCTCAAAGTATAAATCAATAAAGCATGTCTTGTTCTACTTCAAAGCAGCCTCTCTTGCTGCGTGTCTACTGCCACACAATCGCTGGAATCAACTGCAGCAGTTCTTTGTTAAGTGAAAAAAGTACAGCCAAAATGACAGGTTATATATGCAAAGAAAGTAAAAAGGAAAAGATACGGTTCCTTAAATTGATATAAAAAAGCACGTATTTTGCATGATACCTCAACTTAAGAACATTTCAACTTATGGATAAGTGTAAGAATGGGTGGCTGTGCTGAACAACTCAGGTGCTTTTTTTTTTCCTATTCTATTAACGTACGCACGTCTAGCACCTCTTTGGGGGGAATAAAAAAGACTTGCAAGTGTTAGGGAAGAATAACTGTGCCCATATACCGCTCTTACGATTCCGTGATTCTTAGCAGTGTAAAGAACTGCAGTAAAATAAGTGGTTACACATATCTGCCAAGGAATATTTGATACCGGTTGGAACATTTACAAAACTGTGGGTTTTGAATGTGATGAGCAACATAAAAGTTATTCCTGCTTATTCACCCTAACGTGACACCACGGAAATACTTAAATTGAGAGTTGACTCTGGAGGAACACAGAGGTGCCTGCAAGAGAGCAAGAAGAACGGATGGAGCCCTCGCTGTAAGGACTCCTCTCCTCACGTGGTTCAGGGCAGGCCCTGGCCTCCCCCAACACCCACCAGCACTTCTGGGGTACTTGAGGAATGGAAAGCCACATTTATAGCATCTTCATGATGCCAACTAAAAAAATCAGGTTCCTCACGTGCTAATAGTACTCAACTTCGTGTCCCATCCATTCAGGACTGGTGCAACTGTTCCCAGCAGCATGGGGGTGCCAGTAAGTCACCTCTCAGGTGAAACCACCAGGCCCGAGCGTAATTTCCTCAAGATGACAGGGCTGCTTTTGTGCACACATCCATCCTGCCACAGGACAGGCAAAGATGTTGACTCACCTTTCACAGAAGGTATATAATTACAGCTGTTGGGTAGCTCCTGGCTCTTGGTTAACTCATCAAACTTTCATTTCACCTTCTGCTTCTAAGAAACCCTATCCTTCTCCCAGATAAAGGCCCGCTGTAGTTATTATTACCTCACTTCATTTAATTTTCCGTACCTAGTGCTTAGTGACACCCTAACAGACAGGTTGCAGCTATTATGAAGGGTGTCTACATTATTCTCCGCGCTTCAAACAATAACATGTCAAATCTCTCCCCCTCCTCCATGAGCTCCCAGTCAGGTTCTGAGCCCAGCTATTATGAAGGGTGTCTACGTTATTCTCCGCGATTCAAACAATAACATGTCAAACCTCTCCCTTCCTCCATGAGCTCCCAGTCAGGTTCTGAGCTGGGGTGAATGCTTTCCCTGAAGAAACACGAATTGCAGGCTCTGAGCCATTTGGGCCGTTGCCCTTTTGTGAGCTGGGGTGAATGCTTTCCCCGAAGAAACACGAATTGCAGGCTCTGAGCCATTTGGGCCGTTGCCCTTTTGTGAGCCAAGGCAGATCCCAGCAGTTAGGACTCCGGGGAGTCACTCCCCACTGATGGGATGTGACATGGGGACAAGCCCTTAGCACAGAGCAAACGCACGCAGTGTGATCAGCTTTCAGAGCTCAAAAGCAGACTGGAAAGGGAGAGATGTCTGAAAAATGCCTATTTTCCAATACAGAACATATGTGCACAGTGGTGGGCCAGCTCCAGCAGGTAAGCAAACAACTGGGAACTCACCAGCATGAAAGGGACGGCTGAAATAGTACAGGAAATAGCTGCAGTGCTTTGCAAGAATCCTAATTATATTTACCTAGAGGTGATGAATTCATAACTTTGAAATGATGCTATATACTTTACTGTCAGGAGGCCATAAAAAAGTATACATATCCTGTCCTATGTTACTGATCATAATGCACGTATAAATACACAAAGCAAAAAAGAGATACTGGAACTCAAGAAGCTGCTTTTTCTCTAAGACAAAAATGGTTTATTTAGACACCATAAGTTTGAGGACTAGACTAAGTTGAAAGCACCCATGGCCACCATTATCTTCCAGACTATAGTCTAAGTAACCTACACTAGAATTCAGATATAAATTTTATTTAATTGAACTCTTTCATTTTTTGTAATAAATATTATCTTCCTTAAGACCCATAAATAGACAACGGTAAATCATGTGTGTGATTGTATTCTTTTCTACAAGTCTATGTCTTGGTGAAATTACTCACAAAGTCAGTCTAACCTAAAAAAAAAAAAGAGCATATTCATCTTTAATTATGAACTTTATTTTCTTGTAAAACATTTAGAAATACTGGAATATGGAATTAAATATTCAGTTCAAACCAAAAGGTTGCCCCTCTCCTGAGATCTGGCCATCGCTCAAAAAAACCTGTTCAGCAAATTTGGGTTTTTTTTTCCTTTTTTGTTCTCCCACTGAATGCCAGAAACCAAGCTTTTATATTTAGAGAAAGAAAGGAAAGGAGAGAATGAAGAAACCTACAGACCAATCAATGAAACCACATCATAACAGTCCTAAGCATCACCCCCCTAAGCATCACTGTAGAGATAAGGTCAGAAAAGGACAATAAAATACACAGAGAAGCCGAAGTTATTCAGAGAGACACAGCCAAGGGAAATGTGATGGAGAATCTGAGGCAATGCAAGGTGTTTATTTTGCAAATGCTTCCAAAAATGCTCCATCCTAGCGTCAGGAGAAGGTATGAGGGAGGCACTCTTATCTTTTCCAAATAACCTGCTTTATTCAGAAGCATTATTTTAAAGAGTCCGAAAGGTGTTTTTTGCGAGCCTGACTGCGTGCCTCGGAGAGGAATAGAGGTCACTCGCGCTTTCTGTGGCGCTGGCAGATCTGCGGGATGCTGCTCCCCAGCTCCTGCGCGCTGACAGGCAGTACAGATGGTAAAAACGTCAATTAGCACAGCAAGATCTGGAAGTGGACATCTGTCCTCACCAGTACTTTTAACCGGGAGATGGCTTTCCTGCTGCTAGACATTTTTTTTTTTTACCTTTTTTTTTTTTCCCCATATTACACATGCTGAAATGCCAGAAACCAAGCTTTTATATTTAGAGAAAAAGGAAAGGAGAGAATGAAGAAACCTACAGACCAATCAATGAAACCACATCATAACAGTCCTAAGCATCACCCCCCCTAAGCATCACTGCAGAGATAAGGTCAGAAAGGGACAATAAAATACACAGAGAAGCCGAAGTTATTCAGAGAGACACAGCCAAGGGAAATGTGACGGAGAATCTGAGGCAATGCAAGGTGTTTATTTTGCAAATGCTTCCAAAAATGCTCCATCCTAGCGTCAGGAGAAGGTATGAGGGAGGCACTCTTATCTTTTCCAAATAACCTGCTTTATTCAGAAGCATTATTTTAAAGAGTCCGAAAGGTGTTTTTTGCGAGCCTGACTGCGTGCCTCGGAGAGGAATAGAGGTCACTCGCGCTTTCTGTGGCGCTGGCAGATCTGCGGGATGCTGCTCCCCAGCTCCTGCGCGCTGACAGGCAGTACAGATGGTAAAAACGTCAATTAGCACAGCAAGATCTGGAAGTGGACATCTGTCCTCACCAGTACTTTTAACCAGGAGATGGCTTTCCTGCTGCTAGATTTTTTTTTACCTTTTTTTTTCCCATATTACACATGCTGACTTCATTACTGTTCCTGAATATTTTTTTTTTTTTCCCCATATTACACATGCTGACTTCCATTACTGTTCCTGAATATTTTTTTTTTTTTCATTTCTTGCTTGTCCCTTAAGTATTGAGTCCTGTGCAAGTAATGAAAGAGCATTGCAAATTAAAGCAATTTGAAGTACCGTTTCTAGATGAAGATATAAAACATCTAAGGAAGTGAAAAAGAACCAGTGAGAATTAAAAAAAAAAAAATAAGGAATGGAAATACCAGTTCAATATAACTTCAGACTTCATGTCTCGCTGGCAAAAGCAGCAGCCTTCCGTCTGATATTCGGTATGAAATAAGCCACAGACTGTCTTGTTTATGTTCTTATGTCCACACAAGCAGGAATATTTTCATTTTTTTAAGTGTTTTTCTTTGTTGAAGCTGTGCAATACTTTGCTTGACCCAAGTGTTTTAGAGTTATTATGCAGATTTTTGTTAAATTTTGTATACGAACAGTACACACAGATTTAGGAAATATTGTGCAAATGTATTACTGATGCTTCCAGCACTTGAATAATTTCTTAAAGTTTCCATTTTCAAAAATTTTTCCCCAAAATTTGTTTGAAATTCAGGGAAGAACAAAAGCGATTGCATAGAGAACATTTTCTGCAATGCTGTGCAGTATATTAAATGTGCTTCTGATTTCATCTGACACGCCTTCATACAGAAACTGTTTTAATTGTTGCTTTTTTGGAGGAAGAAAAGATTAAAAAAGTGGAGAAATGTCACTTAATGAATTTTCTCTGTTCCTTATCTACATCTGTCAGTTAATGCATGCTGAATATAAAACCATCATTTCAATTAATGCTTCCTGGAAAATTGTATTTCTCTGACAGTCATCTCC